TCCAACTCAAAAAAAAAAAAAAGTAAACTAAGGCCAGGCATGGTGGCTCATGCCCATAATCCCAGCACTTTGGGAGGCCAAGATGAGAGGACTGACTGAGTTCATCGGTTCGAGGCCAGCCCAGGCAACCTGGTGAGGCCTCATCTCTACAATAAATCAAAAAGTTAGTTGGGCATGGTGGCTTTCATCTGTAGTTCCAGCTACTTGGAAGGCTGAGGCGGAAGGATCACCTGAGCCCCACAGGTTGAGGCTATGGTGGCTGTGAGTGTGCCACTGCATTCCAGCCTGGGCAGCAGAGTGAGACTCCAACTCACACACACACACACAAAAGTAGACTAGGATATAAAACTATATCCCTAATTAAATCAGGATCCTTTTGTATGAAACCCAGCAATGTGCATAGTGTAAATTTCCTAAAATATTGTCCAAAAGTGAATAAGAGCCTTCTTAAAAATGGAAGTAGAAGTAGCCTGTGGATGGACATTCAGATGATTCAAGTCGGACCAGGCTTTTGGTTTAGATTAGGAAGGTAGCTCAGGTTAGTTGCAAGTAATTAAGAGTCTCAAAGTTTCATATTATCTCACCAAACATGGACGGTTTTACAGGTATTTTAGATAAAGCATCCCTATTTAGTCTTCTACAATCCTACAAGACAATGAAAAAGGTCTTGCTAATGTAGTCAGCAGAGCTATACAAAACACACAGGAATTTATTCTGGCTTATCAAGAATTAGCAGGACAATACTGACTATGGAAAATACTGAAATGGTGATAAATGTTGGGGCTCAGAAAACAAAATAGCTCAAAATAGGGCGCTCTGGCCTGCTGAGGACTTTGAGCAGGACACTGGAATGGCCTCGGAAGCCAAGCCTCCTTCTGACCTTCTCCTGTCCTTCTTTCTCCTGCTCCCCTTCCTCCCCCAAGGCAGGTCACAGAAACTGGAAATTTCACTTTGATCCTCCTCGCCTTTCTGTGTAGGAGTTGGCCATAAATTTTGACCCACCTTGTCTGATGGTAGATCACAAGTCTCTCACTGCAGAAGGGCCCTGCCCCATGCCAGGGAGGAAGGCCTGCTACCCAGCAGTCAAGAAGAACTCCACAGACAGGACTTGCTGGGCTTTCTGCCTCCACCTACTGCCATGAGAGCACACTGTACTCTTCTTTTTGTTCAATCATATTTCTACACGACCGTCCATTCTTCACTGAGCCAATGCATATAAGCAGACAGCTTTCCCTGAGTTGTTGAGTTTCATTTCTGAAGGCTCCTATGTCACAAAAAATTTGGATCAAATAAAACAGTTGTGTTTTTCTCCTGTTAACCTGTCTTTGTTATGAGAAGGTCAGCTGTGTCCTTGTGACATGTGAGGAGAGGTATCACACTTCTGTGCCCCTACGTGGTTACAAGGAGAACAGATGCTTAAATTTTAGATCCCAGGGAGTTGGTGGTAGTTGGATATAAAGAATGCATCATCAACTTTAGGGTAGTAAATTGACTATTTTGTATTTGAAAATGATTAGAAATAGGAAAGCCTCTGTCTTCAGTAGAGTGCCTTTTAAGTAGCGGAAAGCCTTGGCCTCCAAGTCAGGAAGGCTCATTGGGTTGGACAATGAAGGGCTACATCCCTCCCCAACCTTTCTTCTTCCAGAGGAGTGGCATTGCCCTCCAGGGAGTGGGCTGCAGGGGTCAATTCACCACCACCAATGGACCCGCTCAGACACAGCACCACACGAAGCCCTCAACTGGAGAGAAGCAGAATGTTGGCTTTTACTACTGGTGCTTTCGAACTCAGAGCCCACAAGTGGCAAGGCATGAAAACCTCAAGAAGTCGCTTGATCTTTTTTCCTCCTCAATATTGTTCTACAACTAAGTTAGATGCTCACACACTGACTAGGAGCTGAAAATGGGCTACCAAGCTCTTACGCGCTGTATCATCTCTGTGCTTCCTGGCACAGACTGGAAGCCACTCACACTGCTTTGCAAACATCTCAGACCCCATGTACCTCCTCTGCATGAGAAGGGCTAATTTAAGCTCCAAAACTGTCAGAATCGACCCTAACCGGGTCTCTTTATGCATGGATATGTAAAACATTGTCCAAAAGTTTTCCAGAGAGGATAGTACACACTCAAACTCCAAAGGCAAGTGAGTCAATATATATACAGGTTTATGTAAACAGACACAATTCTAGCAAGCGCTCAGAACACTTGGCTCCTACCGCTAGTTCTGCACTTTTCACTCTAGAATCTAAGTATCTGTTTATCTCCTCAACCACAAGGCCTGTTGTTCCATCTTTGCGGCCTCAGCCCCCAACAATTAATTTGTGAGGTTTTCAACAGAACGCTACATTCCAACAAAGCTCTGTTCTGCTGAGTCTCTGACAGCCCTGGCAGCTTAGCTGTCACAGAAATACCTGAACAGCTTGAAGGTTCAGATTCTGCATTTCCAAACACCAAGGTCACCTCAAGATCTAACGCCCAAGTCTGGTCCCCTGCAATAAACAGATCTCTGACCACCCCTATTCTAAGATGAGACTTATGGGGGGCAAACCCAACACCCAAATTCAAGTTTAGCCTAATCCACACACAATCTCTGTGGAGATTTGTGCTTCTGATAAAAAGAACCCCAAATGTCACAAGGGAAGGGTCTGAAATGCTGCCATCTGATCTGTCCTTTAATAGATACTTGGCAACAATCCTGAGTGCTCAAGTTCCCTTTAAAATGCGTCACGTGTTCAACATGCGTGCCTGGACAGAGGTGTGAGGTAGAAGCCCAAGCAGAGGCTCAAATACGATAAAGTGATAAGGCCATAAAAGAAAACCACGAGTAACCCCAGTCAGAATGTCAAATACATCGCTAGGTTTTCTCCAGAGTCATCTTCTTTAAATCTGTGTTTTGAGAGAGAGAATGTCTGTGTGTCTTAACAGTGGAAAAACTCCACCTACCTCAATCTCTAATATTCACCTTCCCCTCATATACATTCCCATTCTCCAGCTTGGCTGAAAACTCATGTCAAAGATCCCGAACCCCAGTTCCATCCATTTCCTGTGTCCGAGACCAGGTGTGGCTCTCACCATCTTCACCTTTCAAAGCGGAGATCAGCTTAGAGGACTTTCTCAGATTACCGGTTGCAAAAAGTTCTCAGTCACAGTGCCCACCTACCCCTTCGCACCAGCCCACGTGGCATCTGTGCCAGGCAGCATGTGCACCCTCCAGGCATCCATCAGTCTGCCAGCTCAGCAGGGCAGAACTGGGCAGACCCTGGTACTGTGCTGTGACTGGCACACCACCAGCCTTCCAGGGCAAACGCCCAGGCAATGCGGACTGCCAGGACTTGGGCAATTGCAGGGAGCCTGGCTCTGGCCTGTGTGCCCTGGGACCCCCATCCTCTGAGATGTCCCCAACCGGCCCACTGCCCACTAACTCCCCCAAAACACCACCCCGGGCACCAAGCCTGGCAAGCTGACCGCAAAAGGGAAATATTAGCAAAGTGAGTGACAGCAAGTCTTTGGAAAGGACAGCACATCTGTGTCCCGGGGCCCAGAACAGGGGACGCCCCCTGGTCCCAAACTGGGGGTCAGGACGCTAACCCAGTTGCTAGTTCTCGCCCTACTCACCTGCCCATTCGCTGTCCTGTCACACCCGGGCAGGCCTCGGGGCTCTCCATGCCCCAGAACCAGACTAGGGCTCACCAGCTCTAATGGACTCCCCCGACGCGGGCCCTGCCCTCCACAAGAAAACCGGCACCCCCTGCTCCCACGGTCTGGGTCCCCGTCCCCGAAGGTCCCCCGGGGTCCCTCTCGCCTACTAGCCCCCTTTCTCTCTCTCGACTCCCACCTTCTTCCCCAGGTCCCTCACCCCAGCTGCTCCCGCCGCCCTCCTTTCTCCCCTCCTCTGAGACCGGTACCCTCCTCACCTAGGGCCTGGGTCGCCGCTCCACGACCGGCCCAGCCGCTCAGGTGGCGCATGCGCGAGCCCGGCCCCGCGGCTCCATGACAACCCCGTCGTCGCCAGGCCTCTAGCTGTCCCCCAGCCTCCCGCCCACTTCTCGTTCCCGGCGCCTCCGCGACGGCTTTCAGCAGCCACGTGACCCGGCTTGGACGACTCGGCACCACAGAGACTGCGTGCCATCACCCTAGATAGGCCCTTGGAAGCGCAGCCTTTCCCCGCCCCCGCCGGAAACCGTGGCCGGCGCTCTCTCCGCAGCGGCGGAAGTCTCTACGGTTGGTTCCGGAGGCCCCGCCGCCATCTTGTACGAGGGCCTGGAGCAATTCGCGTGTGGGCGCGGTTTCGGGGCGGAGTTTCGGGGAGCCGGACGGGTCCTGCTGGTGGTCGGTGAGGCAGGAGGCGTGGTGTGCAGGCCTCGCGGACTGGACTGGCCTAGCCTACGAGCGAGCCGGTAGCGACGGCGACGGCGCTCGGTATGAGTGGCGGGGCGGTCCTGACGGGAGCGGCCCCCTGCACTGTCCCGTTTGAGTCGCGCCTGTCGCCTGACTTGCCTGTTGCCCTGTGCTTGCGTTTCCGTGAGCGCTGGGGACCCTGGTGAGGGTCACGGCTGTTGGCTCCTAAAGGTTCTCTGAAAAACCCCTGGCATGAGGCCGACTGACAAATATTTAGCAAGTATACACGGGAGTTTTAAGAATGAAGACCCTAGCGGGACGCAGTGGCTCACGCCTTTGCAATCCCAGCACTTTGGGAGGTGGAGACGAGAGGATTGCCTGAGCCCACGGGTTCCAGACCAGCCTGGGCAACTTGGCGAGACCGCGTCCCTACCATAAATACATTTTTAAAATTAGCCAGGCGTGGTGGCGCGCGCCTGTGGTTCCAGCTACTTGAAAGGCTGAGGCAGAAGCATCGCCTGAGCCCAGCAGGACGAGGCTGCGGTGGCCAGGAGTGTGCCACTGCACTCCAGTCTGGGCGACAGAGTGAGACTCCAACTGAAAAAAATAATAATAAAAATAACATCTCGAGGTTCCAGAAAGAAAAGGGGTTTGGATTCTGGTAAAGCAAGTCATGGGAGGGAGGGCAGAAGAGTAACAAGTGACTGCAAGGAAATGGTTGGAGCAGGGAATGATTTTCTTCACAATTTAGGACTGGAGACAGTCCTTATACTGGTTTAAAAGGCCTGCTCAGGTGTGGTCACTCTGCTTTTCTGTAGTAGATAATGAGATAACAGGGATGGGAGGCAGCTTCAGCCTCTTTGGGGGGAGGTTCAGAGACACCTCCAGGCTTCTTCAGTGTGTTTGGGCATATTTAGGAGGAATCGGTTTCTGAACCCCAGCACCTTGCTCCATGAGTCGGAGGCTGAGGCGCATGCGTCCTTTTAGTGGGTGATTTCATGTCCTTTGATGTTGGACTCACTTGTTCCTGTGCGACTGCCCTGTCCATTTCTTATGTGGCTATTGGATACTGTTTCTAAGGTGAGGTTTTGGTGGGAACACACGTATGACAGATAAAGAAAAAAAAAGGGGTTGGGATCAGGTGGAGTTCTGGGGCATTGAGTCCATGAGGGTTACTTAGACTAAAGAAATAATTATTTCTCTAGTGAAAAAGAGAACACAGGCGAGTTTAAAGATTGTTGACAGGTCAAGGCAGATTCTAGAGCTGAGCTGTGCAGTTAAGGTCGTGTTGTAACCAGTACAAGGTTAGAGATATCCAGGTCCACACACTAAGTCTTTCAACAATAGCAGACTTTTAAAAAAATTGTTTAAAATTTTTTTTGTTGTTTTTGAGTTGGAGTCTCACTCTGTTGCCCAGACTGGAGTGCAGTGGCTGCTCCCGGCCACCGCAGCCTCCACCTGCTGGGCTCCGACGATCCTTCCACCTCAGCCTTCCAAGTAGCTGAAACTACAGGTGCGCGCTACCATGCCCAGCTAATTTTTGACTTATTTTAGAGATGAGGTCTCGCCAAGTTGCCCAGGCGGGTCACTTAAATTTTTCTTGAGTCGGAGTCTTACTCTGTCGCCCAGACTGGAGTGCAGTGGTATGCTCACGGCCACCACAGCCTTGACCTGCTGGGCTCAGGCGATCCTAAAAGCCTCGAGCCATGTGGAGTTCCAAGGAGGCAATTCTCCTTAGAGCTTCGATTTCACTCTGTAGTCAGAGCTGCGACACACAGACTCAAGCCATTCGTTCCACAGTCAATATTACAAACCATACATGATGTGCACCAATATATAAATGCCATTGATGAAGCATTCCACAGCAAACAAAGTAACATTTCACATCAAGAGAAAAGGGATAGGAGAAAGGATTGATGAGTCAGTTCAGGAGAGCCAAGTTAACAGCAGGGTTTTTCCTGGGCTGGCACAGCTGTCTGTCAGTGTCTCACAGGGAGGAGTCTTTGACGTGGGCAGAGCTCTTGGTGGCAGATGCCAGGTGCTGATGACGAGCAACAGCAAGTGGGTGTCTGTGAAGACAGCGTTTTGAGCTCGTCAAGGCTTGCTCTTGTTATGGCCACCGAGTCCTCTGCCGAGGACTGGTAACGGAAGGGGGTGCTTGGTTATGTCCGTGTCGGATTGGATGCTGTCTTTACTGATGAGGCAACGCATCTGGCTCCTTGCTGGCATGACACCTTTTAAGGTATGAGATGAAGTCTCTAAGATGGAGTTACTTATGTCAAGGGTGCTCTACCCAGGCTGCCACTAGCCACTAGGAGCTTCAAAGGACCTCGTTGGAGCTGATATACCCAATGAGCAGCCATTTTAACATTGCTCAGCTTTGTCATGTTTTTCTAGCGGTTCACTTGAACTTGCCCTCTAACCACAAGCCAAGGACAGAACAGGTTTCTCAGAGGTGGGTAGTGATTGATAATTGCTTTACAACCCCCTCTCCCCAGCTTGTTTTGTAAACGAGTTGACCTACAGTCCTTCATGACAGACCCCAACAACATGGCTGCAGTCATGGGACTGACCCATCCATCTGCCTGCTGTCCATCACCTAGTCAGTACCTGTGCTTTTTAAAAAAAATGTATTTATTTATTATAAAGATGTGGGGTACAATTCAGGGTTAGGTATACAAACTTTGATCATGCAGGTACCCAGTACCTGTGCTTATCTGTCCCCTCCGTGGTGATGACATGAAGCAGACCACTGCCCAGTCACCTTAATGACCTGCCCCCATCAAGGGGAAGGTTTAAAAGGCGTTCAACCTCAAACAGCAGTCACCATTGCTTTGGCCCCCTCCCTTATCTTGGGGAGGTGAATTTCCTCTAATTTACTTTCTAAATAAGCTATATTTTCCAATTTAACTTCTGTGCAATTCTTTGAGTCTTTTGTGAGACATTGGATTGAAGACACACCCCCCCTCCCAGCAGGTCTGACCTCCAAAAATGTTAGGTTAAAAATCCCAGCGGGAGCTGGGCTCTGTGGCTCAGCCTGTAATCCCACGCCTTTGGGAGGCTGAGGTGAGTGGATTGCCTGAGCCCATGGGTTCAAGACCCGCCTGGGCAGGCGAGACCTCATTTCTACAATAAATCAAAAAATTAGCCAGGCGTGGTAGCACGCACCTGTAATTCCGGCTACTCGGAAGGCTGAGGCGGAGGATCGCCGGAGCCAGCAGGTTGAGGCTGCGGTGGCCGGGAGCGGCCACTGCACTCCAGTCTGGGCGACAGAGTGAGACTCCACTGCACTCCAGTCTGGGCGACAGAGTGAGACTCCAACTCAAAAAAAAAAAAAGAAAAAAGAAAAATGCCAGCGGGGTCTCCAAAATATTAAGTCAGACCTGCGGGGGCGGGGGGTGAGGGGAGGCTGGGGGTGGAGGGTGGGAGAAGGGTGTGTGTGCCATGCAGTGCTGCACAAAAGACACAAAGAATTGCACAGAAGTTAGATTTAAAAATATGGTTTATTTAAAAAAGAAGATTCACCACCCCAAGGTATGGAAAGGGGCCAAAACTCAATGAGCACACAGCAAAGCAATGGCGACTGCTATTTGAAACTGAAAGCCTTTTAAAGCTTCCCTTTGATAGGAGAGGTCATTAAGGTGATTGGGTGGTAGTCTGCTTCACGGCATCAGTCACCGCTGTGGAGGGGACAGGTAAGTACAGGTACTGACTAGGTGATGGACAGCAGGCAGATGGATGGGCCAGTCCCATGACTGCAGCCATGTTGTAGGGGTCTGTCATGAAGGACTGATTAGGTCAACTCGTTTACACAACAAGCTGGGGAGAGGGGATTGTAAAGCAATTATCAATAGCTATCCACCTCTGAGAAACCTGTTCTGTCCTTGGCTTGTGGTTAGAGGGCAAGTTCAAGTGAACTGCTAGAAAAACACAACACAGCTA